GTTTCTGTATGCTGGTAGTTGGATTTCCTATGTGCTACCTAGAAATGGCTCTTGGACAGTATACTTCGACGGGTATTTATATGGTCTTTGACAGAATGACGCCGGCATTTGTTGGTAAGTCGAAGTATTGAGAACTGAAAATGTGCTATCTATAACTTTCTAATTTTTAGGTATTGGAGTAAGCGCGCTCTTGATCAACTTTTTATCGGCAACCTTGGATCTCTCTTTGTTTTTGAACGCTATCGCAGTAATTCGTGAATCGATGCAAATATTAAGCAGCCAAATGCCATGGCATCATTGCTTGTCATCTTTCAGCATCAAAAGCAAGTGATTTTATAATTTTTAAAGAATTTGATCTCATGGGTCCTTATTTAGACTGTCATGTCTGGTCAAGAGAGTGTTCGACTTTGGGTGAAATTCCTGCAATCCCAAAATATCCCAATAAATATATTTACAATAATGGTGAAGAATTTACTTTAGTGTAAGCTTAATTTTATGATTATAGTTTAATCATTGGTGAGATTTTATGAAATTAGTTTTAGCCTAACAGGAGATACATGTGTACGACCACCGTTAAAAAGCATTCACATTGGACTAATGGATTCATCTCCAAAAACTCAGCTTGAGAAGTTTAAGAGCGCTGCAATGGTGAACTGGGCGTAAGCATTTTTCGAAGTTTACGTTTGGCTCTCAAGTCTAGTACAATGTTCACTGCTGCATATTTAAAGTTTTGAAAACTCCTTAATTGCGATGCTCCCATCCTTATTACTTAAAATACAAGCGTGAATTAGACTTCCTCTCTCAAGACTCTTTTAAGGACAACGAAGAGACCAACCCTGAATTTTAAGCTGAAAGCGCCCCGTAATTAAACGTGTGGTACCAACCTTTTCATTCAATTTCGAGACTTCGGCGCCCTCTGTCACAAACCTGGGTACATCAGTACAGGTTCCCACATAATGTCTCCGAAGGAGCCTTACGGGAACGAATACTACTTGCTTATTAGATACTTAGTTACTTACTTAGATGGCCTGTCTTCACTTGTCCTGCGGGCCACAGCACTTTCATCCGTTTCTGTCTCTCGCTAGCATCATGCACGATGTTACTGAACTGCGGCGGCGACGTTCGCGAGGTCCAGATCCATTACTATTTACCAGCTGAGAATTCAGCTGGTTCATCCGTGCAACGAACAAGTGAGCCCATCTGGTTATTGGCCTCCCTCGAGGATTTGCTTTGCGAGGAATCCATTTTAGAGTAGTGTCCATATGTCGTCTGTCTTCTCATTATATGAGCAGTCCATCGATGCTTC